ACCATAGTCGACCATAGTGGACCCTATTGGACCATAATGGACCACAGTGGACCCTAGTGCACCATAGTCGACCATAGTGGACCCTATTGGACCATAATGGACCACAGTGGACCCTAGTGCACCATAGTGGACCATAGTGGAACCTGTTGGACCATAATTGACCACAGTGGACCCTAGTGCACCATAGTGGACCATAGTGAACCACCTAGGCAGGAAACCTGGAGATGATGCTGCCTGGTGTCGGCCTGATGAAACATGTGAAGATGAGCGTGTGAAGAACCAGCTGTGATGGAAGGACAGGAAAAGGAGCAGAACTGATGGAGGTCAGGACAACTCCAGGATATTCCCTGCAGAACTTGTTCTGCTTCTGTTCAAACACAGCTTACTAAAGATATGAAGACTTTTACAGAATGTGAATCTGTCTGTTTGAAGGAAAGAGCATCAAACAGACCAACAGCAAAGATCTCAGACCAGCCAGAACTTTCAGCTCCATCCTGTCGGCTAAGCCAGAACATCAGGACCTAAACCAGCAGAAGATCTATGATGATTCAAGCAGTCAGAAAAAACTAAGGAGCCAAATCCTAAGCTAACTGGGCTGATGCTGCTCCTCCATTGGATCTCAAAAAACAAAATGAACCAATAATCTAAACTACAGGTCCTGAGCTGTACCACAGAACCAGGCTGGTTCTTAAAACAGCAGCAGTAGAAGGACGTTTGGACCAACAGAGTGATGATGATACAATTTCCCCCCAGAATGTCCTTTCTGTGGAGTCCAATGGACTCATGGATACACAAGCCACAAATGCATACTTGCACTTTCTGCTGTTATCTTTATTTTGTCCATTTCAGTGTTTTGATAACTTATGTTTAAATAACATACTATCCAAACACTAGACTGGGGTTTATGCTGCTTTTTATGATGGCAGTAAAACAACAGCTGTTATAGCAGATTCTGAAAGGCAGGAACTTTTTTTCCTGCTTATTGGCTCCCCCTGGTGGTTAAAGCCCAACATGCAGTCTCAGGGGTCACTGTGAGTCATATGATACACTTTATATCTGTTTTACTTTATCAGACATTTCAGTTGGAAATAAATCTTTCACTTTAGTAATAAAAACTTAAAAACGTTTTTAATGTTTATTATTTTTTTTGTTTCATTGTGATTGAACTTTATTTTGTGAATTTATTTCAAACCTAATACATTTATTTCGTTGGTTAAAATATTTTATTAGTTTTGGAGCTGAAGGATTACAAATAGAGCATTCTAATGAATTTAACTTTAACTGCCAAAACTATTTAATGGTTAAATGATTGAAAACAAACAACACTGATTTGTCCCAGATTATACCAGCAGACCTGTGAAGTTCTGGTTCTGATTGGCTGTCAGAACCAGACCAACTCTTCTCTGCTGGTATCAAACCCAGCATCCAGCTGCTTGAAATAATTCCTGTTTCGCAGACCTCACCTTCCTCAGATTATCACAGCAATAGGACAGATTATCCTTTATTGCCCCCCAGTGGGGAAAATGAGAAATAACAGACAGAAAATATATACAGCAAGGTGAAAAAAGGAAATCTCTAAGAATAAAAAGTTATGAAAAAATTCACTCAGATGAAACTGTGAAGCTGGGGAAACTGGGTGTTGATTCCAGGAACACCAGAACCGATTCTCCTAAAGTCTGTGTTCTTTCTCCTTTGATCATCTCACTGTAAAGCAGGAACTGCACCTCCAGTCACCAGAGGGTGAAGACCCAGAGGTCTGCAGTTAACAGTCTGAAGCTCAGAGCTCTGAAAACAGGGATGGTCATTGATTTCAGAAAGTGCAGATTATGATAAATGTCAATATGAACAGTGAACAGCAGAGGGCTGCTCAGTGGAGAAGTAGGTAGCACTGCTGCCTTGCAGCAAGACGGTTCCAGGGTTGATTCCTGGCCAGGGCTCTTTCTGCATTTAGTCTGCATGTTCTCCCTGTGCATGTGTGGGTTCTCTCCAGGTACTGTCTCTACATGACTGTTAGGTTAATTGGCTTCTCTAAATTCTCCTTAGGTGTCAGTGTGTGCATGAATGGTTGTTTGCTCTGCGATGGACTGGCCACCTGTCCAGGGTGTACCCCACCTCTTTACAGAGCAGGGTTGTGAGATTGCAGAAAGTGGATGAGCAGTTTTCTTTCTTTCTTTTTTTTTTCCAGAGAAAGCTACGAGAAAGTGGCTGGATTAGCTGACCAGGAAGGCCAGCTCTGTGACTGGGTGCCCCCTGGACTTGGTGCAGGAGGTTGGAAACAAAAGCATCCTAAGTAAACTAAAATATCAGTTGGATAATGTCTTCTACCCCATGCATGAATTTGGTGCTGAATTGGAGAGCTCCTTCAGTGACAGACTGCTGCACCCTAAATGCACCAGGGAGCGTTATCACAGATCTTTCCTCCCAGCAGCTGGAAGATTCTAGAACCACCACTGTTCCCAACAACCTCAATTAGTTGTTCCATTCATGCTGAGTTTGCAGTTTCTACCTTAGTCAGTTAAATAACATGCTGCTGTAATTTTGCACATCTCTGATGTTGCTGCTATTTTCAAATATCCATTACTGTAAAAATGTCCATAGCTGGATATTGGTTATTTATTCTCCAGGTGCTGTTTGATATTGATAAAGTACTTTACATTACATAATTTAATTTGTTTATATTTGAACTCTTCACTATTATTTTATTCTCATACATCTTTCTAAGGTCCACATTTGTGTGACCATTTTTTAAATAATCTTTTTGCTGCTGTAAAAACCAGAATTCCCTGTTGTGGGACAATAAAGAGATTTTCTATTTTATTCTATTCTATTGTCTTTTGTACATTCAATGCATGTACATGAGGCCTCTAATACGTCCCTACCATCAGCTCATGCTCCCTCTTGTTTTTATCCTCCTGTAGATTCTCACTTGTTTCTGTGGCTCATGTCAACTTTTGTTACCCTCAAGGTGCGTTCAAAGCGCACGCAGTGGCCACATAGCCTTCCTTTACAGCCTGTGCAGTGAAGGGCGATGAAGCTCCGCTCCGCTCTCACCTTGTGCTACTACATAAAGCTGAGCAGGACCGCATGGGACAGAGGAGCGGATATTGCTGAAGTTGAACGGATTTCAACTTTTGCATGAAATTGCAGCATGGCAGCCAATCAGAGACTGGTTATAGGTGAATCAACGCTAAACTTTGTAGACAAACATGTATTTCATTAACATTAAAATACATCGTTTAGATAAATAGAAAAACTAGATTTAAGAAGGAACACCTGTAGGATTGGAAAATCGTTTTCTGTCGTTTTGGGTCCTGAAGCTGGTTCTGATCTCTGGTCT